AAAGCAAAGGAGCAAAGCAAATTTTAAAAAAATGCTAAATCATTAATTTTGCTTGTTTACCCGATTTGTCCACCGCAAACGCCCACCGCCTGGCACAATAGAAAGAATACTCTGCTGAAAACAGTATTGCATACTTAACTGAATATCAATGCTTGTTTACTCGATTTGTCCTTAGATTTTAGAGATTTCGAGAAAACCTGTCTTTTGAACTTTTGTTTTTCATTTGTTTTTCATTTGTTTTTCTTTTCTTTTTCATTAACTCAATATCTTTTCTTTGTTATTAGTTTATAAATTGAGTTATTTTATTTTATTTTGCGAAATTTTCAGAACTTGGTACCCAGCTGAGGAAAGAAAGAAGAAAATGTCGAAAGAATCGGGTTCCGAGTACGAGATTAGCTATCGTTCAACGATTCAGGTCAGTAATTTGAAGATCTTTTTTCATCATTCACAATTTAATTACTAATTTATAAATAAATAGTATTATATTGATTATATTGATCAGGCGGTGGTGGAGGTACAGTACTGGACAATGAAATATGATATTTGAAAAAGATCGTCACTTTGCGCGTCTGTAACTCCCTTGTCTTTACCGTATTTCTAAATATTAATATTACCATTGTGTAGCCCTTGAAAAGAGCTTTCAGACAAATGTATAACACTAATAGTTTAAACTCAAAGACAAGGGAGTTACAGACGCGCGAAAGTGACGATTTTTTTTCAAATATGATATTTCATTGTCCAGTACTGTATCTAGAAACCTATCTTATTTCTTTATACCATAGAAAGAATAGAAAATAAGGAAAATTTGATTGGGAATTTGATTGGGAATTTGGTTTGGTTTGGTTTGGCTTGGTCGGAATTTTGATTGGAAAAAAAAGATCAAACTTATTCAGATTATGATTCGTTTAAAAAGCTATTATATTTCGTTAATATTAGAAATATTATTTATTTGTTACAATTCTAAATCTAAATCTAAAAATCTATTGAAATCAATTCAGCCAAGAACCGCCGTGCGTACACAATCGCGTCAATCAGGCAACTATGTCTCAGGAGGAACAGGCGGTGGTGGAGGTATCTAGAAACCTATTTTATTTCTTTAAAACTCCAAGAATTCATTGATATATTTATTGATATATTTATTGATATATTCATTGATGTACTTCTAAACCTATAAAAGAAGTATATTAATTCAATAGCTCACAGCTCAGCTCATAGCTCAGCTCATAGCTCAATAGCTCATCCAGAAAATCGCTTATTGTAAGCGCTACTTTTAAGCGACTTTCTAAAAGGTGACAGATTCTGATACTTCATTCTACTGTATTTCTTTGAATAACTCACCTACCGATCTGAATAATCTCATTGTAACTTCTACAAAAGCTGATTAAAATAACTTGCTTTCTTCTCACTTCCCATGCTCACTCAAAACTGATCAATAACCCTGTTCCCAGTGCTCTTCTCCTCCATTCCCTCTCTCAATTCTCCCCATTTCCATCTCTGAATGACCTTGTCTTTCCCTTTTTGCACTTTTTATAAAAAAACCAGCAACAATTTGTGTCTCTATTTGTTGTAGAGCTTGCTGCTTTCGAATTTTTCTCTACAAACAAAGTTATACAGCCAGGAAATGAGGTCAGAGCAAAAGATAAGGTTTCTTCAATAAAACAAGTCGAGCTGATCAGGTGAATTGGAGGAGAATGAGTCAGTGCTGAGTGAGAAAGCTCGCAGAAAGCTTATCGTAGCTTATCGTAGCTTATCGTAAATAAGTTCAAACTAGATCTAGAAAATATTTCTGTCTGTATTATTTAGAAAATATTTCTGTCTAACAGTCAATCGATCGTTTCCGACTTTTAATTTCACTGAATCGGGGGTGCGTGATCGAACATGGAAAAGGCTGAAAAGGCTAATTGTCAACACGAAGATCATTCAATAGACAGAAAGAAAAGAGGAAAAGAGGAAAAGAAAATGGACTCACTCATACATTTCCCATCGTCACTTCAAAAAAGGAAAAAAAACGAGTCCCGACTTTTCTTTTCTTCAATGATTGCTGTCTCATTGAAATTCAAAGGAAATGAGTCATTTACAAATCAAAAAAAAGTCTTACAGTCTTAAATTTTCAAAAGCTAGCTCCAGGCCTAACTTTTGGACTTTATGAAGCTTGCAACAAAGCTTGCAACAAAGCCTAATACAATTCGGCTATGCTATCACTACAATTCGGCACAAGTACAATTCGGTACAATCCTAGTACAATTCGGCTATGCTATCCAAAGTACAGCCTAGTGCACAATCTGCGATTCAGATTCCAGATATAGGTATTTATCCAGACAGTAACTCTCAAGATCTTCAGAAAAAATTAGCAATATTTCTAGATTAACTTCAAATCTTATAGATTAGAGATTAAATTAAAATCCCTAAACTCTCTTTTTCCTCTTGAACTCAATTCTTTCAATTCTTTCTATTCTTTCAATTCTTTCAAAATTGTCCCTTTCCCTTTTTGATAGTTCATAAAATGGATTGATTCACTGTGATTCCTCTTGCAAAAAAAAAGCTTATTGTTGTTTGGAGAAAGGGGAAAAATGTTTCGATCAAACAGACAGGAAATCGCTTTTGATGTGAGTGTATAGATAGACTTGTATCGATTTGACTATTTCAAAAAAAGACAATGAAACCCTGGTGGAATTACTACTCGAAATATGCGGAGAAGTTGGATAAAGGTTTGGATTAAGCTGGTTTCTGTTTTTTCAATCTCAACTCTTCATTTCCTTCATTTCCCCTGGTGTTCGTCTCCAGTTTTGATCAGTCTGAGAGTCTTGATTCATCTCATCATTGAGATTTCTGATTGAGTATCTTTTTGTAAGAAAGGAAAAGAAGAAGAAGAAGAAGAAGAAGAAGAAGGAGAAGAAGAAGAAGGAGAAGAAGAAGAAGAACATGAAGACAAGTCGCACGCAAGAATAAACAAACAGAGAAAAGGAATTGGAAAGTAAGAGGAGGAAAGTGGAAAGCGGCAGCAGAGGAAAAAAAAACGTTGTGTTTATCGACGTGAATTTCAAGCCTCAAGACTAAGAAGAGACCCGCCGCTAAGACCCTATTATGTGCTAAACAGATTTTCCCAAATTTTCTTGAGCTTCTTTGGTGATATTCTGATCAACGATCAATTTGCGAGGGAAATGGAGGGACTCCATCGAACGAGTTCAGGTAGGAATCGATTGGGAAATCATATTATTACAGAATCACAACAGATTACGGTAAAGAAGACATAGAATGAATATTATATTATCACAAAAAGTGACAGTGCATCAAATGGCGCGCGTTTTCTATCGTTTGTCGTTTGCAGAATCGAAAATGAGTTGCGATTGTGGTGCTGATGTCTCTCGCTATTGTGGTGCTGCTGTCTCTCGTCTTTAGCATTAGTCGTACCCATCACAACAATACACTGATTAAGGCAAGGACTAGAAGATTTTGCTGGGATTTTGCTGGCTGCTTATTTGACGTTAGCTTTGACTTGAAGCTTTGACGTTAGCTGCTTGACTTGAAGCCATACTAAACTATATCTATATCAATCTTTAATCATATATTTGACAACAAATCATTCATTCTCAATCTTTTCTTTCAATCTCTCTCTTTCAAATTTGAAATCTCTCTCTCCTCTTTCCTGATTCAAATCTTTCTTTCATCACTTTCCCCTTAGAAATCCACAAATCAAATCCCGTTTCCCCATCAATTCTCACGATTTATCGTTGTTGAGGATTGTGTTTTGCATAAATTTTTGATAAGAGAGAAGTCACGTCATTGGAAATTGTCAATGATTCCAATGGAAACGAATTTTTGTGAAAATCTACTTGATTCTAGTGATTTTAGTGATTCTAGCACTGTTACTGATAGCACTGGTCAAAGATCTGATCTAATATTGCTAGTTTAGATTTTTAATACCTTTTTTCATAAATCTTTTGAGAAAACCTTGTGAGTAGGCTCGATTTCAGTAGATGGGAGTGGCAAATGGATCTCGTATCGACCACGCCCATGTAGAAAACGGCAAAGAAGGGAAAGAAGGGAAAGAAGGGAAAGATTTGGCAAAAAAAGAAAGATTTGATCGATACGATCATCAAGAGCTCGTTATCTTTTAAGAAAAGAAGGATGAATCCCCAGAATGGAATGGAATGGAATGAATGGGGGGAATCAGGGATTGGATAAGAGGATAAGAGAGGGCGGAGGGGGTGATCGATGTGGGGATAAGGAAACGGGGGGAGTGCCTTTCCACCTAGAGACTCTCTCACTATTGTGGTGCTGCTGTCTCTCGTCTTTAGCATTAGTCGTACCCATCACAACAATACACTGATTATTTGATATTTGACAATGGAGGAGCAAAATCTGATTGTTGAGAGTCGTTTGGAAGAGATGCGAAAGTCGATGGACGATTTGGCTGTCCCATTATCTGGAGGTTTGTAGAAAAACTCGTACTATCCGAACTGGTATTCGCTCAAACGTTTCAAGAAAAGCTTGCCAAGCTTGCCAAGCTTCTCAGCTAGTCACAAGCTTCTCACAAAGGAAAGGCAGTCAAGCTGATCTTTTGAAACATAAGGAAACATAGGGAAACATAGGGAAACATAGGAAAACAGTTTTTAAAAGGCAAAAGTTTTGTGACAGGACTCGAACCTGGGGGCCGATGAGGCAACCGGTCCAAGAGCCTAGCAGACTATCCACTAGACCACCAGAGCAGTTGGGATGAGGGCGTGTGACGGCTTCTTAAGGAGTCCAAAGCCAATGACCTCTGACTAATCCTCTTTACTCATTACTCATTGCAATTCAAATCCTCTTGTCTCAATTATTCATTCCCATTCAATTCTCCAAACTTTCACACTTCTTATCTTTCCATTCAAAGCAAAAAAAAAGTGCTAATATGGCCAAGCCATTCGTGGGCGTCCATTTATAGCTGAGGAAATGGAAAAGAACACATTGATAAAGGAAAAGCATTTGAATAGAACCGACCTTTCATCCAGAATTCTAAAATGCTCACCGCAACAAAGTCCTCTTCATCCGTATCTAATCAAGCGTCGATGGAGTCACAATCGATCACTTCTTCCACTCAATCCACTCAATCCACTCAATCGGTGACTACATCAGTGAAAACCTTTTCTTCTTTGGAGACTTACCAAGCGGAAATGTTTGTGGCAAATGGATCAGAAGGGAATGCGGAGATTCAAGAAATCGACTATGCGACTGAGCCAGTTATTGGAGCTGGGGCAACTATTGCATCGATTGAGCCTGAGAAGAAGCTTGGAGATGGAGACAGGGCTGCGATTGGCCAAGGAGTCGAGAGTTTTGCTTCAATCGGAACGGAGAGGAATCTCAATACAGAATCTCTGAGATCATCAAGGACACCAATTGGGTCATATCAAGGACAATTCGAAAGTGGAAACTTGAGAACATCTAGAACAAAAATGTCAACATATTCTGGTTCTAGAAATGCGACTGGTGGCAGTAAGTCTAGAGGAGAATCTAGAGAAATCAATTCAAATCAGTCAATGCATTGTAGTCAATGCATTCTTGTAGTCAATGCATTCTTGGAGTTTAAGAATAAGATCATGTTGTTGTTTTACAAGTAAATAATCTCTAATTTTCTAGGTCGTGTCCTAAAAATGGTGACAGAGATGGGATCGGCGACAATTGGTGGAATCTCACCGGCTCTTTCAGCAAATGCTGCCAAGAGTTTCCTTGAGGCAACGGATAAGGAAAAGAAGGAGCTTCAGGTATGGAATTAATGAGATTTGAATGAGATTAATTACACTATACCTTTTCAAACAAAACAAATAAATCTTAGGGTTTGAACGATCGTCTTGGAAACTACATCGATCGAGTGAAGAAACTCGAGGAACAAAACCGAAAACTCGTCGCTGATTTGGATGAGTTGCGCGGGAAATGGGGAAAGGATACAACAGAGATTAAGGTAAAGAAAGATTTAACTTTGAAACTTTAATAATTGGCAATTCCATAACTAGAGCAAAACTGATTGAATGATGGGATTTGAAAGAAAAGATCATTGATCTGTAGATTGACTTAGTTATGTTTGCATAATTTGCATAGTTTGCAAAGGTTGTAGATTGACTTAGACTGACTTAGACTTTGTCAAATTCCAAGTACAATGAGAAGTTCATCAGTCCAAGTCATCAATTGACTCGATTTTGATCCCTCTTTATCAATATAAAAATGTTTAAACGATAAAATTGATCAATAAGAGATTGATTAATAAGAAGTTGATTAATAAGAAATTGATCAATAAGAAATTGATTAATAAGGAATTGATTAATAAGAACTCGATCAATAAGAACTCGATCAATAAGAAATCGATCTTGTCTTCATTCAATTGTTCCCTCTAATTCCATCTTTGTTTTCTTTAACGATCTACAGATAGAAATCAACATTCTCAGCTTTTTAGACAAAATTTCAGAGCAATCAGCTAACATGAAGGCCGAGAAAAGATGAAATTAGACATTTTCCCCCATTTCTAGCCATTGTACAACTTTGTTGAGCTCAAAATCCTTGAGATCTCTTGAATGTGTTCCATAAACCCCCGTTCATCCCCATCGCATTCATTGATTTCCCCGCAAGCATTCACCCCGAAGATTTCCTATAGTTGGGATAGTTGGGATAGTTGTGCTCATTCCCTTTCTCCTTCCCCTCCTCTTCCCTTCCCCTCCTCTTCCCCTCCTCTTCCCCTCCTCTTCCCCTCCTCTTCCCCTCCTCTTCCCCTCCTCTTCCCCTTCCCTTCCCTTCCCCTCCATTCTCTTTTCAATTCCACAACCACGCCTAGTCCTTCACAATCAAAAGATTGGAAAATAGAGAATCGAGATCGTGCAAAGGAAAAGAAAAATGATAAGCAAAAACGAGGAATGCAAAAATATCTCTAGAGGGTTTATGCTGAGATTTTTGTTGAATCAAAGATGGAAATTATTATGTTACATTATCAGATCGAATAATCTAGAGCTTAAAGTTTAGATTAGTTTTGAGCAAAGATCAAAGCAAAGCAAAGAGCAAAGCGTTTTATTTTTCAATTTCAGATCAAATACTCGGATTCACTCTCAAACGCGCGTAAAGACATCGACAGCGCGGCAAGACAAAAGGCGGAAATTGATGTGAAAGTGGCTAGACTTCGCGATGATTTGGCTGAGTATCGATCACGGTGAGTGGATAATATGCATATTGATTAGGCTCTGCATAGTACAATCATTTCTACATCGATTAGGATTTTGAGTAGTACAGTTTTGAAAAGACTATGAGGTTTTGTTTAAGACTTTGAAAAGACTATGAGGTTTTGTCTAACTATGAGGTTTTCTTTAAGTTACAGTATCCACAAACGATTCGTAGTAGTAGATGATCTTTTAAAATAGATATAAACAGTTGCTGTCTCTTTTTGAGTCAAGTTAGTCAAGTTACCTTGTAAACTGCAGTATCCATTCAAGTTACAGTATCCAAGCATGAGCTAGAAAGTATTAATTGATCAATAGATTGATTGATCAATAAGATTGATTGAAACAATGAGATTGATTGGACAATGAGATTGATTGGACAATGAGATTGATTGAACAATGATGATTGGACAATGAGATTGATTGAATCTAGGCTAAGAATAAGCTCTTATACTAATTCAAACTTTACATTGATACAGTAATGGCTGTACAGGTCGAAAATTGGTAACCACTGTATTGGGACCACTGTAATCACTGCACTAAGTCTAGCATTGTTCATAAGATTGTAAAACTTGTTAAGTCTACACTTCTCAATCGATTCCCCAGGTTGCTGACTGGTTGGCAGGGTCCAATGCTAACCCAAAAAAATTTTGCGATCATCTTTTCTTTCCTTTCCTTTTCTTCTTTCCTTTCCTTCTTTCCTTTCCTTCTTTCCTTTCCTTCTTTCCTTTTCTTTTCTTCTTTCCTTTCCTTTTCTTCTTTCCTTTCCTTCTCTTCTCTTCTTTCCTCTTCTTTCCTTTCCTTCTTTCCTCTTCTTTCCTTTCCTTCTTTTTCCTTCTTTCCTTTTCTTCTTTCCTTTCCTTCTTTTCTTCTTTCCTTCTTTCCTTCATTCCTTTCCTTTTCTTCTCTTCTTTCCTTTTCCCTCCGATCAAATTTGTGTATTCAAGCGCTTATGTATCGAAGGGAGAAAAAGAAGAAAAGTCGCTTCGAAAAAACCTCTTTGACGACCATTTCAGCAAAAAAAAACGAAACAAAATCGGCATATTAGAGAAAAGAAGAAAAAGAGAAAAGAAAAAAAGACTTTAAAGTTTGCCAACCTCGAAACAGGCCATCTTGCTTGAGCTCTAAAGTAAACCGGCTTGGTCAACGAGAAATTGTTAAAGAGAGAAAAGTTTGATATTGATTTCAGAGGGAAATGCATGAAGAAACTTTTTTCACAAGTGATTTATAGACTTACAAAGTTTAAGTTAAAGTTGTAAAGCTGAAGTGAAGAAAAGTAGGCTGCAGAAGTGGGGGTAATTTGGAAAGCTATTGTAGGCTTTAGAACTGTAACTCTCGGCTCTCGGCCATCAAGTTGGTGAGGGCTTATCGTACATTTAACTACAGGACACTTATCGATCTTCAGTCTATCGTTTATCTAGCTACGATAGCTTAATTCAAAATCTATATACCAAATTTCAGCTATGAGGATATCTCTCATCGTCGCGAGGGTGATCGCGAGAAGATCCAACAGTGGACGAACGCCATCGCTGACGCTCAAAATGAACTCGAGATGTTGAGAGCAAGGTTGGGAATTGAATCTAGAGTATTGAGCTATCTAATAGATCTATCTAATAGCATCTAATGATACAGTAGGCTTTGGCAGTTGACAACTAAATTTCCCTTTCAGATGGAAGCAATTGAACGACGAGGAGAAACGCCTCAACAACGACAACGGTCGACTCTGGGAAGAGCTTCAGAAAGCCCGAGCTGTGAGTTAAAATTAAATAATTCTTTAGTTATTTGATAACTCCATAGTACTGTTTTTTAAAATTTAAAGCTTATTTACGTCTTTTTTCCAGGACCTCGACGAGGAGACAATCGGCAGAATCGACTTCCAGAACCAGGTGCAAACCCTTATGGAGGAGCTCGAGTTCTTGAGAAGGTAAATAGGAAATATGGAAACCAGGCTATTATCTCAAGATATAATAAACTATCTGTGAAATTTCAGAGTCCACGAACAAGAGGTGAAAGAATTGCAAGCCCTTCTCGCACAAGCCCCAGCGGATACCCGTGAATTCTTCAAGAACGAGTTGGCCTTGGCCATCAGGTTAGTGAGGAAATTTGTATGGAAAATGGAAATAGCTTTTTAGTACTTTGAATAGCCAAAAAGTTACGTAAATCGATCGGTCTTTACAACTGGTAATTGTTGTTTTCAGGGACATCAAGGACGAGTACGATTACATCGCCAAACAGGGCAAACAAGACATGGAAAGCTGGTATAAACTCAAGGTTTGTTTTTTTAAGAAAAGAAGATTTTTCGTGAAAAGGAAAAGGAGACGAAAGAGAATCTAGACAAAATCTAGACAAATCTAGACAAAATCTAGACAAATCTAGACAAATCTAGACAAAATCTAGACAAAATCTAGATTCAAATTTAAAGCCTCTTCTGAATAGTCGTTGGATATTTCAACTTACACTTAAAATAATCTAAAAACTCCCAACTTCCCATAAATTCTCATAAAGCTATAATTTTTGAATACTAGCCAAAGCCAGTCAACGATAAATGCCAAAAAAGAAAATGGCAATAAAAAGTAAAGAAAGCAATTTGATAAGCGAGGCGGAAAACTTTGAACTTGGAAACAAGGAATTTAGATAAATTCAAGAGAGTTTGAACTTGAAATGGATAAAAATAAAATGTAGAATAAGTAGAATACAAATAATCTATTACAAAGTCCGATTTAGGTGTCCGAGGTGCAAGGCTCGGCCAACCGGGCTGCCGTGGAGAGCAACTATCAACGCGAAGAGGTGAGAGAGTGAAAAGAATGATCAAAAACTTTACGCTATATTACGCCATTTTATAGAGAAATCTATCACATTTCATATTCTATTATATTCAGGTGAAACGCATGCGTGACAACATCGGCGATTTGCGCGGCAAACTCGGCGACTTGGAGAACAAGAACGCGCTGCTCGAGAAGGAAGTTCAAAACCTCAACTATCAGGTTTGTATCTTTAAAAATGACGCGAACACCGATTGGGATATCAAATGAAAATTGTAAAACATTTGCAGCTTGCCGATGATCAACGCCAATACGAGGCAGCCCTCAACGAGCGTGATGCAACCCTTCGCCGAATGCGCGAAGAGTGCCAAACACTTGTTGCCGAGCTCCAGGTGAGATAAATATTGCCTAGATTAATGAAGTTAAATGAATGGCAAAGAGTTTGGAACCAAAAGGGAATTGAACCATCGACCTTCTGGTTACCAGGCAGATGCTCTACCACTGACTATATGCCTTCTTTGCCCAAAAAGAAATAGGAAAGACAAGGAAGAAAGATAAGGAAGAAGAAAGATAAAGAAGAAGAAAGATAAGGAAGAAGAAAGATAAAGAAGAAGAAAGATAAGGAAGAAGAAAGATAAGGAAGAAGAAAGATAAGAAAGATGAGAAAGACGAGAATGAAAGCAAGAAAAGAGGATCAAGATATGTTGTAGTAGTAGATCCTCGCGCTATTGTAACGCGCCTGTGAAATAACAGCGTTTATCCAGAATAATGAAGATGAATAAAAGAAAAGACGAAAATCAAAAGAACGAATAAAAAATAAAAGAATAAAAATGTAGAACCCAATGGGAGGGAACAAAAAGAAAATAAAATGGCACAGACTACACGACGTTCTTAGTGACAACCTAGACAGACGTGAAAGGTGCACTTTAGAAAATGACAACTTTGTGGGAAGTATAAAAGGGAACCTTCTCAACAAGATAAACCTTTTATCTCTAAATCTTTTCTCTAACTTAAAAGTTCCAGAAACAATTGAAATTCCAGAAACAATCATTGAAACAATTCCCAAGATTTCCTCGTTGCAACCAAGATCAAATTACGACTTTAAAACTTGAAATTCTTGGTTCAAATTGAAATTTGTTTATATTTTATTGTTAACTTTGTCAAATCAAGTATAGAAAATAATTATAATTCTAATTCTTCTAATTCTTCTAATTCTAATTCTAATTCTAATTCTAATAATTATAATTCTTTTATAATTCTAAAAATTCTAGGCTCTCCTTGACACGAAACAAATGCTCGACGCCGAGATTGCCATCTACAGAAAAATGCTCGAGGGAGAGGAAAGCCGGTGGGGAGAGGAAAGCCGGTTTCGTTGATAGAAAAGATATTCTATCAACGAATCAAAAGATATTCAGCTGATTCAGCTGATTCATCTGATTCATCTGATTCATTTCAATATGACTTTTTCAGGGTTGGTCTCCGCCAGATGGTCGAGCAAGTCGTCAAGACTCACTCTCTTCAGACACAAGTGGGTTTTTGGGGTTTAAAAAGTAAAAAGTAGAAAGCTTTAATATCTAAGCTATAATATCTAAGCTATAATATCTAAGCTATGACATCTAAGCTATAATATTTTAAGTAGAATATCTAGTTATAGATTAAATTATTGCTATTATAGAATATTATAGAATATTATAGAATATTATAGAATATTATAGAATATTATAGAATATTATAGAATTTTTCTTTAGGAAGACACCGACTCAACCCGTAACGTTCGCGGCGAGGTCTCCACAAAGACCACTTTCCAAAGGTTTGTGCAGAAAAGGATGTACTGTAAATAGAGTAAGATAAAAGTACTGTTAGACTAACTATCTGTTGCTATCTATTGCTATATTGCTATAACTATCTATTGCTATATTGTTTTAGATCGGCTAAGGGCAATGTGACAATTGCCGAGTGTGATCCAAATGGGAAATTCATCACCCTTGAGAACACTCACAGAACCAAGGTTTGAAGATTGCTGTAATGAGATTACTATAGCTTTGAGATTACTATAGCTGTGAGCTTAAATCATGTTTGTTAGGCAGGAAGAACTGTAGTCGAAATAATATTCTCTAATCGTCCTAATCGGCCGAATCGTTTAGGATGAGAACCTGGGTGAGCACAAGTTGAAGAGAAAATTGGACAATCGTCGAGAGATCACCTACTCGATCCCGGCAAACACTGTGCTCAAGGCTGGAAGGACGATGAAGGTGAGGGGGAATGAGTTGAGCTGACAACGAGAATTGTGGGACACTTGGCCCTTTTGCCGTCTCGTTTGCCATTGGCTAACTTTAAGCTCAAATTTCTTGGTGTTGGGCTGTTCAATTTCAATAGTTTTTGTACCAATCGACAGAGAAAGACTTGACGCATTCAACGATTTCAAGAATGTTTAAATTTAAAAGCCCAACACAAAGATATTTTAGCTTAAAGTTAGATTGTTAATGGGAAAGGGGATGGGATGGGATGTTCACCGACAAACAGTACTAGACAAACACGACAAACAGTACAGTAACAGTACTCTACAGTACTGTAACTACCAAGTTTTAGAATAAATCAACTATGGAAATCAAATCACTTTCAGATTTACGCTCGTGATCAAGGAGGTCTTCACATGCCACCAGATTCCCTTGTCAATGATGCCGAAAACACTTGGGGAATTGGAGCCAATGGTTTGTTATTGACAATGAGATCTTGACATCTTGAGGCTTAGGCTTGGACTTAGTGCGTAGGCTAGCGGCTAGCGCCTAGCACTAAGTCTATTTGGGTTTTAGGCTTAGGCTTAGGCTTAGGCTTAGGCTCAGGCTCAGGCTTAAAAGGACTCTAGAATACTGTAAAGTCTTAGGTGTCTTAGGTACTATCTAGCTATCTAGTCTTAGGTTACTATCTAGCTACAACTTATGGCTTGTTTGATTATCTATACTGTAAGACATAGCATCTTGTATACTGTAATAAGACAGACGTCTTACAGGATTCTTAGCGAGTATTGTAATTCATCCTGATGTTATCCTGACATCCTGAAGTTATCCTGACATCCTGATAGTTAGTGTTATCGATCCATACCGCGTAATCCCTAGAAGTTGTACTTAAGGATAAGATGCTATAGGTTTTTAAGTACTACCGTAATCCCTACATACTATTTCCTATTTTCATCCTACCGTGATCCCAAAACATCTTCAATTTCAGTCGTGACCACTCTTAGCAACAAAGACGGTGACGAGAGAGCCACTCACACACAGAAAACCGTTCAGACTGGAAACTAATGAAAAAATAAAACTATTTTCTGTTTTCAAATAATATTTGTTTCCTAAAACCTGTAGTCTCGAACATTCCCAAAAATTCTTTTTATCATTCCCCTTAAAGAAAACAAAAACAATCTTCAAATTTCCATGATCGGCAAAGGTTTTTCACTTCTTTTCACTTCTTTTCACCGTTTTCCCTCTCTTCCAATACTGCCTTCTTTTTGGGTTACTGTAGGATTACCGTAACAACAACAACAAGAACTCTAGCCATCTACCGTAACCCCTTTCCATTGCTACAAGCCTTAATCACTGCTTCAACTCTTCCCCCAAAAGTGCCCTTAAATTTTTTTTTTTTTTAGAACTTTTGCGAATTTCTGAGTTTAAATTTGTGCCCAACGATTGCACAAAAAATGATTTTTTTTTTTTTTGAAAATAGTCTACTCAAAAGTTCGTTAATAAATTTTGTGTGTATCGGTGATTTTTCTCTTTTTTCTCTTTTTTTTCTATTTTTTCAGTTATTTTATCTATCTTTAAACGAATAAAAATAGGTGTTTCGATGGCAATAAACATTTTTTTTTTTTTTGTTTTTTTTTTTTTTGAGGAAAAGATTTTCAAGTTTAAGTTATAAGAAAAGAAATGAGATCATTTGAAGTTCACAAGAGTTTAATCAAATCATACAAAAGCTGATAGTTTGCTAAAAACTTTGCTAAAAACTTTACTAGAAAGTCTTGCTGCATTGGCTAATAGGATTTTTTTTTTTTTTTGGTAAAGAATGCAAACGAGGCACCAAGGGAAATACTTTTAGGGAAATACTTTTAAGGAAATACTACTGTATTCGTTATCGAAAAGTATTTACATTCAAATTTCCATAAAAAGAGATTCAGAAATTTGGAAATTGAGCTTGGAAAGTTTCAAAAAAAAGCTGAGACCGTATTTGTTCGAATAGAACACCGGGTAAAGAGTATGATCGCGTACTCCTGTGTAGCAGCCCTTTTTAAAATTTCTTTTCTGCATAAAAGCAGCTTTCAATGAAGTGCTATAGAGCTGGAAAAATGACTCAAAAATACCACATGAGCTAACAGATTTTTGAGTCATTTTCCAGCTCTATAGCACTTCATTGAAAGCTTTTATGCAGAAAAGAAATTTTAAAAAGGGCTGCTACGCAGGAGTACGCGATCATACTCTTTACCCGGTCTTCTATTCGAACAAATACGGTAGTTTTGCTAAAAAGTCTTGGCTAATAGGATACGATAAAATTAATTTCTTAGCAAGCTACCGTAATCCTCTTGTACAGATCATTCGAAGTTCACAGGGTCAAAACCAAAAAAAGAGAACAGTGACATTGAGATTGAAAATGGATACATAAAAGAAAGATCTGGTACATTGGTGGTTTGGAAAAAAGTGACTGACGAGGGAAAGTCGATTCGGTGGTCAATCGCTCCGCTCCGAATCAAGGTGGTCAATCGGAATGAGAACTAGACCATCCGATGCACAATTTTACGCTCATTCACTGTAAACACTGTAAAATGTCTCTACAGTATTCTGGAACAAAAGTAACAAGTGGGCAAGAAGTAAAGGGATGTGGTTACGGTAGCTTGCTTAAAATGACTTTGTTACCGTATTCAGACAGATTACAAGGCTCACAAGGGAAAGTCACGAAATCAAGGTGGTCAATCGAAATGAAGCCTAGACCATCCGATGCAGACTTTTACGCTGATTCCGAATCCGCTGTCCTTTTTTGCTAAATAGATCGGAATCGCAAGGAATTTGGCAAACAAGTTTTTTGGCCTCTTTTATAAGGCTTGCGCGCGCGTGACGAAGACATGGTTGCGTAGTGTAGCGGATAAAGCGTCGGAATGTAAAGCTCCAGGTCGGGGTTCGCCTCCTTTAAGTTTTTCTTTTTTGAACACCTTTTATAGTGTCCCCTAATTCCCCTTCGGCAACAAAGTCATTCTAAGGAAGCTACCGTAATCCAATCCCTTTACTTCTTGCCCACCTGTTACTTTTGCCCTTACGTTTGTTCCAGAATACTGTAGAGACATTTTACAGTGTTTTTAATGCCAAAGTCACTTCTTATGTCCTTGTCACTGTTCAAAGAACAAAGAAAACAATGTCCTTGTCACTGTTCCCAAAAGAACAAAGAAAACAATGAGCAAATCATTTCCTATAAAGTTTAATCCATTTTTGAAGTAATTGTGGAAGCATTAGCACGTTCAAATTATTCGTATCAGTGTCCGGTGTGTAGTCGTTGATCAAGAGATAAGGAACCTGAGAAAAGGTATATTTTATGAAAAAGTTACAGTATCATTTTCCTACTTCAAGAATCGCATTCGGGCGTGTGGTCATAGTTCGATGAGCAGCTTGACGCTGCAATTGAACGCCCCGCTCCGAATCGTAGCAATGACTGTAAGTGATATTTTTTATTTTCAAATTCTGAATTCTTTATTTTTCTATTTTCCCAACTTACCGTATTTGTCTGTATTGGTTTCGGACAAAAGCCATGCATTGATGAATGGCTCCATCGACAGGAGAATTTGAGAGAGCTCGCTCGAAACAAACGATGAATGGAAGAGCTTGTTGAACCTGAGATGTTGCTGAGAAAAGTTGGATTTGTATTTTCTTGAATATAATTTTGCGTGTAGCTCTATTGCTGGCACCGCTTGGTAAAGCTTTGTATCAACTTTAAAAAGCTGATGATAGCTTTTGTAAAGTACAACGAATTGCACCATACACTGTTTTTAACGTATTTTTTTCTCACTCACCCCAAGAACTTCAATGACACAAGATTGCAATCGATTCGCATCACACTCTTTCAACCCGTGATTGCAAGAGAATGAGCCATCCTAGGAATGGGAAAAGATTCAAGAATTTGATAAAGAATATAAATATTCAAGAATATACTTTATAGTCCCTATTTAGTTCCTATTTAGGTCCGGTTTGGTTTCTTTACTTAAAGATTCAAGAATCTAAAGATCCAAGAATCTAAAGATCCAAGAATCTAAAGATCCAAGAATCTAAAGATCCAAGAATCTAAAGATCCAAGAATCTAAAGATCCAAGAATATATATGTCGTAGCCGCTAACGAAATTCAGCCGCTAACGAATGATTCGTTAACGGCTAGCCGCTAACGAATGAAATTTTTCGCTAGCCGTTTACGAATCATTCGTTAACGGCTAGCCGATTACGAATGAAATTTTTTCACTAGATGTGTACGAAATCTTTGTAATTGGCTTCTGCGAACATGGCTAGATTCAAATGAACTTACCACGTTTTTGGTTTCAAATTTTTTACACAAAAAAAGAAAAGAGAAAAAATTTGATTTTGAAGCGAGCTATTAAAAGTTTTCAAAATACCCCTTTGCTGAGATTGGGTCCTCCGGGACGAGTCCTCCTCATTGTTATCAGTGATTTCGGATTAATTTTCTTTCTGCTTTTTTATTATGCTTTGGTTTCATTATACTTGCTTTATTATATTTGTTTTTTTCAGGATGAATTCATTTCTCAACCAACTTGACGCGTATCAAATTCTGAAAAAGCGAACGCATATACTAACGACGAAAAAATACGATGAAATTGTGAACATATTGATAACAATGTCAAGTGAAAGTGAAAGCGAGAAACGGAAGCGAACGACAGAAGAGGCGAATTGGGCACGTCGTTACTCGATTCAATGTATTGAGCAATCAATGATACTCTACAATCATGGAGACAAAGGAGAGAACGAACAACCAAAACGAGTCGTCAAGAAAGAAGAACTCTTCGATGTTTTGACGTCAACTCACAAAAGACTAGGACACGCCGGCCGGGACCTGATGTGGAAAGAACTGCGAGGAGATTATCACGGGATCTCAAAGGAAATACTCGAGATTTTTATCAAACTTTGCCCGGAATGTGAATTAAAGAAGGGGACACCAAAAAAAGGAGTTGTTGTGAAACCGATCATAGCGAAGGAGCAAAATGAACGCTGCCAAGTCGACTTAATTGATCTTCAATAAAAATAAAGGACGGCGACAACAAGTTTCTGATGGTTTATCAAAATGGTTTATCACAAATGGATGCACGAATGGACGATGTGTGTGCCTCAAAACCAATATGCTCTGCAATAGCCGATGTCATCACAGTAATTCATGCACCAACAAATAAACAGTTTGTTTTTATGCATTTTAGTTGATGTTTTGTTAGTTATAAATGTTATTATGTTATAAACGTTAATATGTTATAAATGTTACAAATTTTATTTCACTCGTTGTGATTAGTTTGCTGATTTGCGTTTTGCATAAATAGTTTGAAATCAAAGGCTAATTTGAATTGAGCCATGTTCGCAGAAGCCGATTACAAATCGTGCACGGCTAGCAAAAAAATTTCATTCGTTAGCGGCTGAATTTCGTTAGCGGCTACGACATATAGATTCAAGAATATATAGATTCAAGAATATATAGATTCAAGAATCTAAAGATTCAAGAATCTAAAGATTCAAGAATCTAAAGATTCAAGAATCTAAAGATTCAAGAATCTAAAGATTCAAGAATCTAAAGATTCAAGAATATAAAGATTCAAGAATATAAAGATTCAAGAATATAAAGAAATTCTCAAAGCTTTATAGAATTTTCTTTCCAACAAACCCTCAGAATTCGAGCATTTCCCCAAGGAACAAGCTCGAGTTCGAACTCTCCTCTGAACTGATTGACGATTGTTCCCAATTGATTGGCGATGAATCTAGATTCTATTAATTTGATTACAAATTCAGACTCAACTTTTGACAATACGGACACAGCGCCTCATACATGAGAGAGATTTTGATGGGACGATGATGACGCTTCAAAGAATCACACTGTCGCTGCACACCACAAGTTTGAGCAGACTAGAAAACCATCTCAAGTGTTTGATTAAAGTGTTTGATTGAGTTTTGAGCGCTAGATTCGACAGTGCGCAATCCTACAGTACCTATGGTACAATATCTCGTACTTTAGCTCTTGAATTGTCTTAAATTTTGTCTTAAAGTCCCTAATTGTGAGGAGAACTTCAATTGAAATGAAAGCTGACCTTCTTTACAATAAAAAGCTATTGGTGAAGTCTTTTTCACCAAAATAATATTTAAAAACATTACCTGCGCTGAGTCACACCATAGATCAGGCGGGATATCGCACTGTTGATTTTGTTGTTGAGGGTGTACTTGCACCGGGTGTGGATACGATGGGTAATGAGTCTAAAAGAAAATTGATTTACAAAGCTCAAACAAGTAACTAGGCCGGGATTGAATAAAGAGAGAAGATTTTAGGTCCAGACCTAGTTTGATTAAGGATCAATAGCAGTGATGCGAGTTAGCTGGGGGATTGTAAATGTCTAACAAGGGGAAGGCAGCGAGTCAATCTTTTGACTTGTCTTTTGTCTTTTGACTCTGGTCTTTTGACTTTACAAGCCCATTTTATAGAGTCAGCTATGGAGATCTCGAGTTTTTGAAGAACACTTCGCAATTTAGATATCTCGCGTTTGTAAAGCATTCTTTTTCAAAACGGATTTCAATTCAAAACGGATCCGAGATCCCCATGACCGACTCTATAAAATGGACTTGATCTCGAGTCAAAAGGCTAGCTTGACTTAGGCCAGCTTGACTTAGGCCAGCTTGACTTAGGCCAGCTTGACTTAGGCCAGCTTGACTTAGGCCAGCTTGACTTAGGCTAGCTTGACTTAGGCTAGCTTGTCTTAGGCCAGCTTCACTTAGGCCAGCTTCACTTAGGCCAGCTTCTTTAGGCCAGCTTCTTTAGGCCAGCTTCTACAGGCCAGCTTCTTTAGGCCAGCTTGACTTGGTGCCTTTCCCTTGTAAGATTAGTGTCTAGATAAACATTTTCTTCTACCGGCGGATTTGGCCGTCGTGAGGGCTAAAATTTTTTAAATAAATGAGTTTTTATGAAGCACAACAAATGACAAACTCACGTCAAATGATGAAACGGAATTGCTATGCTAAAAAAAGGATTTTCGCAGAATAGTAAATATGACACTATCAACTATCAACTTATTAAAGACTATAATCTTGCCTCTAGTTTTATCCAGTTTATCTACTTTTAATAACTTTTATTATCCTCACAGAACAAGAACTAAATGGTAGCTTTACAAATTGCACTAGTTTTCGAAAATTGCTACATTTAAAAAAACTCAAGTTGAGCATACTCTGCTTACATGCTTAAAAAGGTTCTTTAACATTCAATTACAGCTCTAGTACTTAAAGATTGCCTGATAAGACTTTGGTGGTTGATAGTTTGCACGGTTTGTGTGGTGGGCTTGTTGAGCTGGATGTCGTTGTTGAGTGTGTTGGGGTTGAGTTGGAGGTGGGGGGAGGGGGTGGCTGGAAAGAAGTTAAAAACGATCGTTTCAAAACAGAAACAAACAAACAAACCTATTAAGATATCACCTAAACAAGTATGTGTACAGCTTATTCAATAGAAAATAGTTTATAACGAGTCTGTGGAAAATTTTCATACTGTAGAAAGAAGAATAAAGATATTTTAGAGTCTTCCTACAGGATGTTAGCTTTAAAAAGTCAGATTTCACTATCTTTAAGTCACTATTTTATCTGAAACCAGCCGAGTAGATTCATTGGTTTTTTCTAGCCAGTACCCGTTGCTGATGTTGCGGCTGTTGTTGTTGTTGTTTCTGCTGTTGTTGTTGCTGTTGTTGCTGTTGTTGCTGTTGTTGCTGTTGTTGTTGTTGTTGTTGACGTTGCTGTTGATAAGGTGGATGGCGATTGTGTTGTTGATATGGATGAGTGTATGCCTGGAATTTGGTCTCCTTCATTAGATGCTGTTTTTAGAGTTCACGGGTAAAATAGACGATAGATTAGAGAGGTGATCAATCAGGTCACCAACTGACTTTAATGGATTGACTTGGGAGGAAACACATTGACTGACCCCTCAATGGAGAGGGGTTTGAGGAGATCACGGGAAATTTTTTGAGACAAAGCAGACAAAGATTTGAGTGAACTGGATCAAGGAAATGGAATAAGCTGTTAGAAAATGAGAAAAAGGTTTACAAAGGCTACAATAAAGGGAAAAAGGCTACAATATTCTGTTATTCGCTGTTGTTGAATGATTTTGAGAAACCCACCTCAAGCTCTTTGCTCAGGTACAGGAAAAGGGTGAGAAGAAGCGGTAGTCTGTACATGATTCTAAATTTTTGAGCTAAAAATCTACATATTTGAGCTAAAAATCGAAATTTTTGAGCTAAAAATCGAAATATTTGAGCTGAAAAGACTTTTCAGATTTCGAAGTAAACCATGAAAAGAAGCTATTGGAAAAAATGATTAAAATTAGGTAAAGTTAGGCTTTTAGCCGGTTGGAAAAACTGATTTTATTTAGCATGAAAGTAGTATTGTACAAAGCTGTACCTTATGTACAATACTACTTTCAAAGCAGCAATACTGGTTTACATTTTCAATTTGAAATGGCTAGTGGTTGTGTCAAAAGCGGTACTTGAAAAAAACTCAATTCTGAGCTAAATTCAAAAATTCCAATTCAAAAAAAGAGAACTTGTACGGCAATAAAGTCCCATAATGAGCACATTGAGCATAATTCAAAAACCCATTTGCTCAAAAGCAAGGAGGTGTGTGAATGGGTAAAAGTGATGGCAAGAGCATAAGGAGCGGCGTGCCAGTCGGTGAGCACCCGAGTCCATTTTAATGAAAGAAAAGAGAGGAAAAAAAGGACCCACAAGAAGGATATGGGGATCTGTTATGGGTACAGAGAGGGACGTGATAGAAAAAAGAGATGTGAAGGGAAAGGGAGAATGGAAGTGATCTTCCCTTTGTGACTTGACGGGTGATCAGGTGTTGCGAGTAGAGAAAGTTTGCTCACTTGTGCAAAAAAAAGAAACTAGCATGGACTCAGGAAGTGAACAAGTAGAATGCTCAATGAGAAACACAAAAATTTCCGAAAAAAATAACGGATAAATTTTTGTGAAACGATTTTGCTTTCTATAATGCAACTGACGACAGAAACGGTATTTTGAGGCGGTAATTGGGGTAGGCTAATTTCCGTCATTTTATTTGCGCAACAGGGTCATTTGCGCAACTGGGTCGTTTGCCCAACTCGCCATAACTTTCTCCTAAGTCAGCCAATCTTTATGATTTTGGTGTCATTTTGTAGATCTCAATAAGTGCAACAAAATGACACCAAAATCATAAAGATTGGCCCACTTAGAAGAAAGTTATGGCAAGTTGCGCAAATAAAATAGTAGAAATTAATCTTTATGATTTTGTTTTCATTTTGTAGACATGACAATTTTTGGCGGTGGCTACTTTGCGCCAAATTTTTTGCGCAACTCTCCATAACTTTCTTCTAAGTCGACCAACCTTTATGATTTTAATGTCATTTTGTAGATCTCAATATGTGCAACAAAATGACACCAAAATCATAAAGATTGGCCCACTTAGAAGAAAGTTATGGCAAATTGCGCAAAAAATTCGGCGTAAAGTAGTCAGCCCCATCTTATTGAGTTGCACTTATTGAGATCTACAAAATGACACCAAAATCATAAAGATTTGTCCACTTAGAAGAAGGTTATGGCGAGTTGGGCAAACGACCCAGTTGCGCAAAAAAAATGGCGGAAATTAGCCTACCCCCAGGGGAGTGGGACAAATGCGACCTTTTTTTTGCGCACCCGGACATTAACGCACCTTTTTTTCCGCACCTTGCCCATTAGCGCACCTTTTTTCGCGTTTTAAAAAAGCTCTAAAAGCTAATATTAACCTATTTCTATTCCAAAAGTTGTTTTTCTAGGTAATTTGAGGGTGTCGAATTCAAATTTTGGCATATCAGGGCGTGTGGAACCAATTTGAAAGACAAAACGGCTAGATCAAATTACAGAAAATTGTCGATTTTTCTCTTTGTATAACTCCGTCCGTTTGTTTCCACAAGCTCTGATATGTCAAAATTTCGATTCTACGCTCTAAAATTACCTAGAAAAACAACTTTTGGAATAGAAATTGGTTAATATTAGCTTTTTAGAGCTTTTTTAAAACGCGAAAAAAGGTGCGCTAATGGGCAAGGTGCGCAAATGTCCGGGTGCGCAAAAAAAGGTCGCATTTGTCCCATTCCCACCCCCACCCCCAGTAATTTTCTCATTTTCGCATCTCATTTTTCGAAAAGTGGCCACCCTCATTTTTATTTTTTGCGCTAGTTTTTTTCCCGTAAATGGTGCATGTTCAACAATTAGATCTAGTTTAAAATTTTATCCTGTTTTGCAATTTTTAAAAATCATTAGCTTTGAAAAAAACTAGCGCAAAAAATAAAAATGAGGGTGGCCACTTTTCGAAAAATGAGATGCGAAAATGAGAAAATTAGTCTAGAACAGCTTTTGCTAGATTTCCAATAAGAATAGTACTATTATTTTGCCATTATCATGTTTCTTTTACTGATCAAATCGTTGTACATTTTTATTTTAGAAAAAGCTAAGCTGACGTTTTTTGCGCTGTTTCAATATGAATAGGAAGATGCCCAAAGTGTCGGAAAGTGCAAGTTTTTTAAAGAGTTATAAGCCTTATCAACTATGGTGATACTATTTTATCCACTGCTTATTGTTCTTAATTCACTGTAACATTTAGTCGGATGATGGTTGGCCTGCACCTACAAAGCGACAGCCTCGAGTTGTGCCAACGAGTGTCCACCAGCCACGTGAAAGTTCGAATCTGATGCGAGCCGAGATTTCCGACGTTAAGCATCGCAGATTTGAGGTATATTGTAGAATTTCTATACAGGGTGACCCAAAAGTTCTCGTACAACTTTTTACTAAAACTTGATTTTAAAATGACTGAGGAAAGCTATTGAACTAAACTTTTTTAAAATGAGAACCTTAATAAATTTTATTTGAAATCACTAATAAAGAGCTCATTAGCTCATCATGGCTCTTTTTTATATGCTTAACCCTTAAGCCGCGCACAAGTGGGCAAAATCGACTTTCTTTTCAATTGTTTAGTCATGCGTGAAGTTCAGACTAATTCCAAGCAAAAGTTTATAAACTTTTAGTGTTCATCTTTATGCTAAAAACGTTAGGAAGTTAAAAAGCGTTTAGGCTCACATTTATTTGGATAGAAACTCTCTCAAAGTCAGCAGATTTTGGTGTTTTTATCGAAAAAGAGCATTTTCCAAAAAAGTTTCAGAAAGGGTGTACAATATCAACTTTAGTTTATTTTAATTCGAAAAAATTTAAAGGTTAAAATTTGTGTAAATTGTTAAATTTCTTTATAAACATTAGAAGTTGACTAATTTCGACAGCGTGCCGTCGACACGACTTGCAGGCTCAAAAGGCAACCATGTAAAAAAGCTATGAGCTTCTTATTAGTGGTTTTAAGCATAATTTTATGAAGGTTTTCATTTTTAAAAAAGTCTATTTGAATAACTTTTCTCAGTCATTTTAAAATCAAGTTTTAGTAAAAAGAGCTTTTGGATCACCCTGTATACAGGAATCCGAATTTAGCTCCACTACGAGTCAGATAAAAATGAGTCTGCTTTTCGTTTTCAGCAAAAGGTCTAATAAACGGTTTTATCTCTTTACTTTGTGTTTTTTAGGAATTGGCTGCTGCAAACGGTCAATCATTGACGAAGCATGACGAACAGAAGTCTGAAATGAGGGTATTTGAGCCATTCCGTGAAGATTTTATTACATTTAGCCCTTTCATCAGTCGGTTTCCTCTTTTCTGGACAAACAGCCAAGGAATGACACCATGCTTTATCAAGAAACGGACTTAAAGGCCGAAGATTACGTATGTTTATGTTATCATTTCATTTTCATCGTTTTTAGTATGAACTAGAGCAAAAAGTGGCACTTCTCAAACGAGTTCATCGAGGAGAATTTATTTTACTGAATGAAGACTTGACGAAGGACCAGCTTCTGCTTAGTGCGCTCACTTGGAATATGGATTTTCTTAATATCTGTAAGTACGTTTTCCAGTTAATTTTTTATTGTGATGTTTAGGTGAAACTGTTGTTGCACCGGCTCCTAAATACCAAGGTATGGATTCATCGATCCTTCCTTGGAGAATTGAAAATCACGCAGTCTACTATGACTTGATCGACTTCGTTCAGCCCGGCAAAGATCTCCCGCAAATGGTTTATTGATTTTGTTTATTATAAACGCAAAAAATTTAGGCTACTCCTATCACATTCCTTGAGCCGCAGCTACTTCTATGCGTCGGCTTTGACGAGAAAAGCAACAACAAAGAGCAAGTGCAAACCACTTTGAAACGGTATGTACTTTGGCAAATTTCTGTCTGATTAAAATGTTTAGAATACTTGATGATGGATTTATCTTGGACCCACTCCAAGAAATCGTCTATGGAGTAAAGGCTTTATGGAAGTGCCCAGATGACGGCAAATACATTCGCGTCGTTACGCTTGCCTTGGACAATAACATAGGAGCCAGAGTAATGATAAAATTACCTTTTTGATCACATAAAATTTTAGGAAGAGGCGTGGGTTGTGACTTGTTTGGATTCTGTTTGCTTGGAACGCGACAAGACTTTTGTAAGTAATTTTTAGCCATTTTGAATCTCGCGAGTGTTCAGGTTGTGCAGGGAAGCGAGCTGTTTGTGATACCTGACCAGCTTAGTATCAAGAACATTCCCGCCCAGCTATTTATCATGCAACTCCGTGGATTAGATCATATACGCGAGGTAAGCATTATCTTGATCTAATAAATGTTTATTCGTGAATTTTGGGGATACATCGCGGATGCTAGAGCTGCACTCGACAATTACGTCGATGCCAAATCAAGCACTGGCTTTGTATTTATGCTGCACTACGACGAAGAATCCGGTCTTTCCATCGGTGATCTTCTCTTCTTATCACCAGAAGAAAGCACATTTTCGTACAAATTTCTTGCTGATGAACTTTACGATGCTGTGTAAGTTGAACACTAAAGAGTATACACCATTCGTTTAGGAAAGGCAACAAATCGTACTGGATGACGAAAGGCGACGCCGGGGAACTGCCGATCATAACGGATTTTGAGAAGCGCTTTTCAGAGCTCGTGAGTTTGGGAGTGGTTGTCTGCTACAACTCCCGGTTTAGCTTCATGTCGTTTGGGGTGATCAAATTGAGCCAGAAGTCGCACCAACTCAGCCTTTAACTGTGGAATCTACTGAGGAACGTTCATTGCAAGAGGTTAATATCATTTGTAAACCGAAAAATCGTTTCTTCAAGGATGTAATTGCTGCAAGGACTCTCGCAGACATGGGGGAAATTGAAATTCCTGAAGAAGTGGAAGAAAAAAACCTCGAGCTTCAGAAGTGGAACAAATATCACAAGATTCTTCGCGCTCTTTTGTAAGCAATCCATTTAAAAATTTCCCTATTAAATTTTATGACTTTAGACGTAACGCACAGGACAAAGAATTCTACAGAAACGCCTTGATGCTTTTAAAAGAAAACTCTGGTGTAAGCAACGAGGACCTCGACTTTGTTTTCACATTTCTCCGCTAACTGTCCGTTATGATTTATTTAGCTGTGTTTAGAAATCTCCTTTGGAGCACATTATACAATGTTTAATTATTTTTGCACGTCAATTTTCCGTCTAATAAACCAAGTATAATACACAAAAATTAAACATGGACACAATCGACACGGAATACATGTAAAAACATACAATTCGTTAACCACTTTTAAACTAAGCAAAATCGGTAAAGTAATCTGATGACAGGAAGAGTTTATATAACAAAAACGGCAACTGAGTGTTATTTAATTGAATGAGAGGGGAGTACGGTGGGAAGAGTGCACTATAGGGGTGCAACCGTTGTGGGGGAAAAGTCGAGTCAAGGTCAACATGTCTATCTGTTGCTGTTTGTCCGTAAAACTGCACGGGGGTGGCCGCAAATTATCGCCTCGCAGTTTTTGGGCTAGCTCTTGGCTCTAGCTTCGCGAACCGATTTAAAACATTTTTTATATGGAAATCGCGATCATTTTCTACGAAAGATTTCTTTATACAAATGCTTTTGAGATTTTTATTAAAGATTTGCAAGATGCACCCAAAACAACCCTTGGAACGCAACATTATTCAAGCTTTTTCTAGTTCATTTTCAAACTGAAATCGGTTTTCTCGCTTTTTTTTTGGTAAATTTAAGAGTAACATTTGGATAATTCTTTAAGTTAACTTTGAGATTAACCGATGAAATTTGCCAGTTTCAAGTTGCATTTTGCATCCAGAGCTCATAAAAACACCACATGGTTGAAGATTTTTGTTGAAAAACATTTTTTTTGAGCTTTTTAACCAGAAAAGAATCAAATAAACCATATGGGATCCCTTAAAAACTGTTCATGAAAAGCTGCAGATTGAGTTGCGTGCCATGGGGTTGTTTTGAGCGCATCTTCCAAGCCTTTAAAAAAAAATCTCAAAAGCAAAAGCAAAGATTGTATAAAGAAATTTTCCGTCGAAAATTATCGCAATTTTTATATTAAAAAGGAATTAAACCGGTTCGCGAAGCTAGAGCCAAGAGCTAAACTGCGTGGCAAATTATCGCCTCGCAGCTACCCTACAGATGTTTGGGGCTACCCTGCAGATGAACTAGTTTAAAAAACTTTTAGAAAGGATTCCTATATTAAAATTCACTTTTAGCTTATTAATTGCGGACTCTTGTATTCACCAAAAATTTAGTATGAAAAATTTATTAGTTATTAGATTTTACACAAAAGGCATCAATGATAGGCATTTATTGCACAGTCTAAATAGTCGGCGCAAATCAGAGGTAACAGTTCTATTCGTGTAAAAGCACAAAATATGCTCAAGTTTACTGATTGAGCATCCAAAACCAACAACAAATAAATGAAAGTAATTTGACCGGTATTGAGCAAGGGATGACAATAATGACCATTAAAAAGTGTTACTTTTAAAAGTTTAAAAATTGAATCGAAAAGATACAAACACAGGGACTACAATCTACCTGCACCAGGATAAAATAAAAAACATAAATGCCTCAAATGATATGCACAGTGCGAGATTCTCGCCAACAAGTTGAAAAGAATTTTATATCACAGTTCTAGCATGGGAATCGATCAAGGACACAGTGAGGAGAAGTAACTATACAAAGAACCCATTGTCAGCCGACGGGCCCGCATTCCTGGCTAACGTTGATGAGCGACCATTTGCCGGAGATCGATGCCTACTCGCATTTGAGCCACCTCGATATTGACGCGGAAGAGTTTGCGTATGAGCTATTCGAATCGATGCATCAGCTCCTTGCAGAGAACCACTCAACATCTCCTGTATTCGATGGTATTCGTCCGTCGTTAAACCTGAACCGCTTATTTAGGAATTGTCAAGAGTAATTGATGGAATGGTTCTACTGGTAAAGTAAAGTCTTGCGCGTCTTGAGCCTGTGTCAAGTCTTGTGTCTACCTTGTGCCAGACAATCAAAGTGATCGAGATCGGCCAAATCGGCGACTGTGCGGACGTCCCTTCGATAAAGTTGATCGGTGAGGTGTGATAAACCAGCAGCTCTCAAAAAATCATCCAGCGATCCAGCGTATGCGTTGATGATTTGAGATGGAGGGGTTTGATGTTCCGCGGACGAATAGTTTCCGGATAAACTAAAAATTATCCAGTTTATTAGAAAACTGTATTAATCCCACTTGTGAAAAGAAGCTGCACTCCGTGGACCCTCAGCATGTACCAATTCCGGATTTCTCGTATATCTCTCCAAGATTTGCAGTATTTGTCTGAAGGGTGGCCTTTCGTGCCTTTCCATTTTCCAGCACCTAAAAATTGGGATATATTATTGAAAGATCATAAATTCTTACCATAGCATCAGCTTGTGAATCGCTAATGGGCAGTCCATCGGAGCCGGTAATCGATATCCGTGCATAACTTCGGAGATAACCTAAAAGAATATAGAAAATAGTAAACAAAAGATCAGCATTAACGTTACTTTTTGATTCGTCCATTCCCAATAAGGTCGCTCGCCCATCGACATCACTTCCCACATCACAACACCGAAAGACCAAACATCGGAGGCGGCCGTGAATTTTCTAAAGTTTAGAATTCAAAACGGTGCTACATAGGAATTTTCGAAAGCTACTAAAACTTATGAGAAGTCCAAATACCTGTGGGTGATTGCTTCAGGTGATGTCCATCTCACAGGAATTTTTCCACCATTGGTTGTGTACTCCTGTTCAGCCGAGTTATCAACTCCCCGTGACAAACCGAAATCAGCAATTTTGCAAACGAGCGATGAGCTGACCAAAACATTTCGAGCAGCCAAATCCTAAAGATAACAACATAAATATCTTGCAAAAATCACAAACCCTGTGCACATAGCCTTTATCGGTGAGATATTTCATTCCAGCTGCGATTCCCCTCAGCATATCCATCAATCTTGGCAACTGTAAAGGCTCTCTGTTGATATCTCGAGATCGCAAGAAGTTATCGAGTGATCCGTTTGACATATATTCAGTAACAATCATCACCGGTTCAGCTCTAAATTAAGGTTAATTCGTGATAAAGAGTAATTTTTTACTTTGTGACAACTCCGATCAGTCGTATCACATTTGGATGTTCAAATTGTCCCATAATTGAGGCCTCGAGGAGAAAATCGGCTTTTGCTTTTGGTGAACTGCCAGGCTTGCAGGTCTTTATGGCAACTGTTTCAATCTAAAGCAATTTCATAGTTTTAACATTTTCTGCTAATGTTTTACCTGTTTTTCTGCAGCTCCAACGTTAGCTAGAGCTCGATCAAGATGACCCATGCAGACATCACCAAACTCGCCTCCTCCAATAACAGAAGTGATGTAGATGGCTTGTGGATCAATATCGTACGTAAACTCCACCAAAGCCTAAAAGCAGAACACAATTTTAAATCTAGTATCAAAATATTTACTTGATTAGGATCCTCATATGTAGCTGGATCAACGTAGGGTCTGAAGTTTGTTCCATAGTGTCCCAAAGCGTGCGGTGAACTCGAACCATATGTAGGGATCAATGGAGCACTCACTAAATATTTGTTTTGGGGTAATTTTTTTTAAAGAAACGGTAAGCTAAGAGAGCCGGATTTTCACCTTAGCCATGAAATTAAAGAAGCTTTATGCATTGGGTAAAGCAGCCAACAAGTTAAAGACACAAGTTTCGATAGTTAGCGATGCTAATCGAGACTGTGCAAGCAAAGCTAAATAGTGTGACATTAACGAAACCAAAGAAAGCTAGAACAGATTCAGCCAGAAATTCCCGAATTAAATGCAACAATTTTTTGAACAGAAAATGGCTTAGCGTTGAGTTATTATAGAGTTAAAACACCGGAAATAGTTTTGAAGCAAAAAAAACTCTGTCAACTACCTTTCGTCGGCGAACTTCCAAAGCAAGAGACGGTTGTGGTCGTTTGTTGAGGGAAACTACGAAGTCCGGGTGGATAGTCGGGCGTCATTGTGTCTAAAGACGACAACGAGGTGCTTGTTTTTTTGAGTTAGATCTAACTTCGTATAATTAAAGAAAAACACTCTTCGACTACCAGAAAACATAATTTGAACAGAGGATTCTCTAACTTCAAAAGAAGTTTCAAACTTCAAACGTCTTTGACAAATTTACAAAACTGCGGATTCTCGTTTCATTTTAATGAATTCACAAATGAAGCTTCATGAGCAAGGGGAGAATGCAGGCACAAAAGCGGACTTTGGGCTCATTGTTAACAAAGTAGGGATGAAGCATTCACAAACCTTGTTTGTATGTATCTAACACATCGAGATCACTCATTTGTTTTCGATTGATCGAACGACGTCGGCAAAGGAAAACCTAGAATCGTTGATTTTATATATGTAATGCTTTTTCAACTTACCAAGAACACGATAAAGACCATCAAGACAAGAATGAGTAAAACCAAAACCCATATCGAAAGTTCGGTGATTCCTCCAGGGTGACCATCACGAGAAATCTAAACAAGTGGTGGCTGCCAGAAAAGAAACCCTTTTTACCTCAGCATTTACATGTCCATTTCGTTGATTGTAAAAGAGTGGCAAACTCCATTCACCCCAGCCATCGATATTCGCACGAACCTGGAAACAAAAAGCATAAATAAAGCAAAATTTTATTACCCGAAATTCATATCTTGAGTTTGGTTGAAGAGAGCCAATATTGTAGTAGGTGTCTTGAGTCGGATATACGCCACTACGAGTTCCATTTTCTTGAATTTCCACTTCATAATCGAGAGAGCCTTTAGCGACGGCGGGTGATTGCCAAGATATTGTGACTCCATCCTAAACCTTTCTGATAAGGAACATTTTGATAAAACATACATTTTGCTCAAGTTCGATTAAAAGATTGCTGACAGTGTGGGCTCCGATTGGCAATGTAGAAAACTCTACCGACGACCACGATGTTTCAGATAAGGAGACTTGAGAGACCTAAAAAAAATGTAAATGCGCAAGCTTTACAATTGCTAACCTCATTTTCAGCAAATAATTTCATAGTGTAGTGTGTGTTCGGATTGAGTCCAGTCAGTTTGAGATGACGAGAAGAAAGTTTTGCATCGGATGGAATTGCTCGGACGGTGCTTGGGCAACTTCTCGAGAGTTCTTGAATGCATTCCCATCTGCAAAAATCCAGTTAGGAAAACAGTGGTATAATTAACTAACCTGTACCACAACTCTTTTCGTCCACCGAGATTAATTGGTGTCTCCCAATCGATCGTGACACTGTTTTGGTTCACTTCAATTGTCCGAGGCCGTGATGGTTTAGAGGGTGGCTCTAAAATTTAAAAATATTATGAAATCAGCATGTTTTGAATATTTTTGACGTAAAAAATTCAAATAACTTACTTGAACAAGCATTTGAAGGTCCTTCAGTGGTAGCTCGGAAGTATCCAGGCAAACATCTACACGAAATGGCGCCAGCCTCACTGCTTGTGTAATCCGGGCATTTCCGACATTCACCGTCTCCGGCTCGCTGCTTGTAGGTGTTTCGCGGACATTCTAAAATAACCAAAATTGATGTGCTTAACGATTTTTTAGTTTCCCATAGCTTTTGTGAACCAAAAAAGGCCATCATAGTATCAACAAAGAAAGAGCCGACCCCCCACTCATTTACTCATACCAAATAAGGGCTGAGAGTCTTGAAAGCGCCCAGCTGGAGACCTCAATGACCCGCGATGAGCAAACAGCTCACTCACACCCTCTATAAGATTAAAAGGGAAGAGCTTAGCTTGGGACCGAAAACAGATCACTTTGTGTGTCTCTTAGAGCCCTTCCCAGACTCGTTGTCTTTGTTACGTCTATTCTTTACGCAAAAGAGAAAACTTTCAGACTTTATCTTTGCCTTTTGCCACGGTCTATCTATCCTTTAAGCTCCAAAAACTTTTAATTCGCTCAAGGAAAAAACGATTACCGAAATGAACGTAAATTTGGAAAAGGTCGGATGCGCCCAATTGACGATAAATCATCGACAAAGATCAGCCGCCCCTCTCTTTCTCCATCGAAGGGCACACCACTCGATAAACGCATCGTAAAACGGCCGAAAAACGACATAGGAGGTTTGCGGCTCCCTTTCATCGGCTCCGATGATTACGCGGTGCAGTCTTGCGTGATACGGGGTGACCATGAATATTTTCAAGCAATCTTTCCCTAACGGAACACCTGATTACGCAATGTCACCAAAAGAAATTAGTAATTGGAAACTGATGATCCACGAGAAATGTAGTGCTTGTTTGAGCTGTTATTTAAACATAAGTACCAATCTCTAATTTCAAAATTTTTAGGAATGCAAGGTCTCAAAATTCCAACCCCCATGTTTTTCTTTCTTGTGCAGCAATGGGGAAAGGAGAAATTGTAGATTTAGGATGGCGATAACACACCAAAGAGGATCCGAAGAAAAAGAACAGCCAAATTGACTTTCTATTTTGAAATAAGTCGAAACTTTAAGTCTGCTAATCAATTCCCATTAGCAGATAACACATTTATCTTCTCATAGTGGGCTCATACCCACTATGAGTGGTTGAGAGCGGTTATTCAAGCCCATTCACTCCCATTATAATCACATTTGCAAGATGCCGGCACCTCGAAGTACCGACGATAATGCAAAGAAATGAATTATAAGACCGCTCTATTCAGGAGATTATCTAAGATTCAAGTTTAGAGCTACTCATTTTATCCCTCTTGAAAGAACTAAAAAAAAATGCCGAACGAACACCTGGTGAGAAAAGGGCACTCTAATGGTACTAATTTCGAAAAGAGCACAAAGGGCTGCGACATGAAACTCCATTGATGCGAAACAATGGGTTAATATAGGAATGGGTGATTATAGGTCATCAAGGTCGTCCATATAATTATCATTCAAAAATAAGATGGTTTGCGTATTGTCTTAAGAGGTACCCAAGCTAAAAAAAACCTTACCACTTTAGCTTTTTATGCATGGCACCTTTTGCTTTTTTTATTTTTAAAAAATAAACCATCAACAAAGGTTTTTCGGTTGCATTAATGGATTGCCACAAAGTGACCTTATTCACACAAACACTAATTAGACAAAGGACGCATCCATTCTCCATCCATCTACATCCCACTCTCCTCCGCAAAGCTCCTTAACCTCTTTGTTCACTCATGTGAATAACTCAATAGAGTCGCCTCGACGGATTAAGTTATTAGGAGAGGGTTTTATGGAGTAAAAACTATGTACAAACAAACCTATGCATCGGTTGCCAGCATTTGGAAAGTATCCGGCTTTACATTGACACTCCCCATCGATGGCCGTTTTCCATTGCCCATCTCCGCGACACATTCCCATTGGTGGTGAGCCCTCTCGAATCGGTTCAGCATGAGCCACGCATCTAAACAAAAGACTTTTTGATGTGATTTTAACTAAAAGTTATCTTAACATAGTAAGCTTGGTGAAAAATCACTAACCGTCCTTTTACATCAACGGTCTCAAAAACCCGAGAGGCTGTCGGCGTTTCGGGGAAAGTGGCAAATCCAATCGTGTCCTCAGCACAAAGTTCGTAGTAAATCTAAATTAAAAGCTTAGTTATTAGTTTTGAAATTCAAGTTTATTTTTGTTTCCCCTCGTTTTTTCCTTTCCAAAAAAATTTCCAGGAAGAAATAAAAGGCTACGGGTCTAAAGCCTAAGCGCTTGACGCTAAATTCGGTGAGCAAACAAAAATATTTCCCAATCTTTTGCCTAAGCGACGTGCACTTTTCGCAAAAAAAAACATTGCTTTTATTATCGTTCATTATGGGTAATAGATATCAGACGTAACTCTTTCCCCAATTAATGAAAGCAGGTGCTATATTGTTGATCGTGTCCTTAGCACCAAACACAGACGTCTTTGCCTATAAGATTTGGGAAAGAACGAGAAGTGAGGGAAAAAAAGGAGAGAGTGAGGTGAGACCTCGGCTCACGAGGTCATGACTGTTAATCCCATTTTACAGTCGCGCGTTTTGCCCTCCCTCACTTGCTATGTTTGGGGAAATTGAAGATTAGCATACTTATTGTCCGCTCAAGGCAATCGAGTTTTTTAAAATGAAAAATCTTGATAGATTTTGAGGCTATAAAAAGATTGGTTAAGATACTCTTCACTTTGGTAACTTTTCTTTAGGACAAGATTTTATTCTCTGATGTATGTTTATTTATTGGTAAAGACATCTAAAAGAAAGGCATATCCCCTTGTCCCTTGACCTGCCAACACCAGGCATTCATTGAAGAGACAACTCAGCAAACAAATGTCTCAGGGTGAAAATATTTGCACTTTCTCACCTTAGGACATTAAAGAGATTGACTTGTGTATATGGTAATAGTCACAGAAAATGTTGAGGAAATTTGGTACAGTTTTTGAAGTAAATTGTGCAGAACAAACCTTAACAGCCAAGATCGAAACACAGGCACCGGTGTCACGAAATGCGAAGCGAACATTCGAACCATCAACGGCCACCGTTTGAATCTCTTCATTCTTCATCAATCCATTCCCACGCATTCGCTCTCCGCCAGTTAAACGACTCAACAACTTCCTGAATAAATTTAAATTTAAAGAAAACTTCTTTTCTTTACCAATCAGATTTGTTCGGATTAAATCCGATCAATGAATCGGATGCTCCTTTTGGGACGAGTTTGTAATAAAGACCAAATGTCTCTTTACAGTATTTCCCGGCGTTGCTACAATCTCGAAGCGAATAATTCGTGTAGATATGAACCCTAAAACGAAACAAAATCATATGATTTAAAATTTCTCCTTTACCGGTTAGCATTTCCAGAATCGCGAAGTGGAGTGAAGAGCCAATTGTCGACGAGTTCCTCGTTGAGATTGCATGATACGTAGGCTCGTTCGTTTGAGTTGTTTTGCCCCGAATACGTCTCCTCGTTCCACTTAAATAAAAAAAACATTCATTTTTATCTTAATTGTTATTAATTTTTGTTTGTTTTCTTCATTGGATATTTTATAACTTTTCCCAGTTTCCTTCCTTTATTTATGCAAATGACTCTATCAATCCCGCTAACAATAAGTGCATCTCGAAATCGGGCTCATCCAATCGTAAACCCATAACATTCCTTATCCCTTTCAAGATGATTGCACAAATCGTTTTCGGTGGTAGTAATCAATTAATCACAAGACGTGTGTCGGCTGTCACGACTGACCCTCGAGATCGGGGGTTGCTCAGCATTTATTCTCCTCCTCCATCTCGAACAACCCCCATTCACCTAGTCTTCGAGAGCACATGCACAATTTTCTCTTCTCTTCTCCCCTAGTTCGGATCGTATCGGAGGAAGAGATCGCCGAAAACAATGGTTCTTCACCCTAATCTGCTCTCCTCGGAATCCACTTTCTGTCCAGTTCGCAAGGAATTTGTTAGAAATCCAAAGCGAAAATTATGACGATTATGAATGGTTCAGGACTTTCACCCCGTTCTTTGAAAGATGGGAGAAAGCCAATGGGTTGATGGCTTTTAGATAACAAAATTGGTTCTATTCGTTTATTTCATGCCTACAGATTTCAAAACTCACCGTGTCCGTGTCGTGATACGATCGAACTTCCCATTTCAGCTCAACTTTTTCGCCGGACGTCGAGAGGATGTCAACTAAATCAAAAAAAGATTAAAACATATAGTGACATTATTTTTTTTGCGACTGTAGGTGAGAAATGCGTAACCATTGTCACTTATTGTCTGGCAATCACTTGACGGTTAAAGGTCATGTGTAACCTGTTCAGTCGGATGCCCATTCCTAGCACCTGCACTATCCCGGAAGAGGAAAAGGGAAAGGAAAAATTGGGTCCACTAACAAAGGGTCCTTCTAGGAGGTGTTTATTCAAATATAGAGCGATTTGGTTTACAAAAAATGTCTATGTTATCGTAAAAAAAAATGTCTATGTTATGTCTATATTTGCTTATTTTTTTTGCAAAGAAAACTTGAGATTCGCCTCGAAAGCAACTGGGTCTTTTAAAATGCATTACAAAAAAAACAAAATTTCTCGTTTTGCTTCTCAAGAATTTCTCCCCTAAACTATCAATTATTGGTAAGTCAATTATTGCCTCGTTGGCACGTAAATTTTACACTTTGCGCGGGGTGTGTGAGTGATGAGTACGTTTTCTCACCGTTTCTCACTCAATCCCTATTTCCTTTAAAACATAAAGGTGAGGAGGCACCACCTGTGCACTCTGGAAAGCCGCTAAAGTCGCCGGAAATTTGATCACTAATGAGGCGAAAGTGTGAATGAAAAGATATCCCCTTGGGCGTCAACTGTTTAAAATACACTAGAGAGAAAAAATGCGAGAACTATTTGTGGGTTCGAGTTGTGAGTTCTAATGGAGAAAATCTCCAGATAGATAAGAATTTGCGAAAAATAGAACCAAACCAGAGCCTGTGTTCTAGTTGAGAAATTATTGAACCTTAATAACATTTACTCTAGATCTAGTGAGCAAAAAAGTTAGAGTAGCCTAATAAGTGTATGCTTGTAATCAAGGATTGAAAAGGGCCATCTATTAGGCTGTCTAGAAAGTCTTTTCGTACTTCCGTTTAAAACCAACAAATGTACCAATTGAACTACGGTTTTTTTTTCATTAGAAAGGCCAATTATTTTTCTGCAAAATAACATTAAAACGGGTTTTAAATGTCTTATGTCTAGATTTTTTGGAGTGTGAAGTCGGGTAGTCAAAAAGGACGACGGCTCGATGATGCGGTTAGCTAAGAAAACCTATCTTTGTGTCAATAGATAAAAGATAGAGCACAAAAAGGTAGGCGTATAGCCAAATTTTCACAGAAATTCATTCAGACAATTTCTTCGTAAAGGTTTTTATAGATTTTTACGAAAAACACGTTTTCACTCTCGAATTTGCTTGAAAGTAAACCCAAATTGACTTTAAACAATGGGGAATTGAACAATAAACACTTTTTATTTAAAGTAACGGAAGTATGAAAAGGAAAGAAAAAACTTTCTGGACAGGTTAATACACTCACAAAAATGGTTTTTCAAAAATAAACTCTCAAACACGAACCTCTTTTAGATGTTCCCAGCGTCAGCAGAAGGAGGAGGCAAAAAATTGAGCGATGAATTGTTGATTTCGGTTCTCTCATTTGTGTGTCGAGTCACGAAATGAACATTGTATCCTTTCTTTTCCTTGATTTCGTCTTCTTCAGTCCCGAACAGCAAAATGGGACTTCTTGTGTGAAGAGAATAGCAGCTGATCTAAAAATTAAGTTGTAAAACGTGAAAAACAATGAAAAGAATAAAGAAGCAGAGCTTTGAAGAAGGTAAGACATAAAATGGGTAAAATTTGGCTTGTTTTATACACTGAATATCCTTTAATGTAAGCCAAAACAAGCTATTTGCATTAAAGGTGTTTTCCATTGAAATTTGTATTTAAAAAATTCTGTAGTTGCTGGTTTTAGTTGTTGGTTGAATCTAATGGAAATAAATCAAAAAGAAACTACAAATAGATTACATGAATTTAGATAAATAGAAGAAAAATATGTATAAATTTGCAGATAAAAGCTTGATAAAATCAAAGGCAAAGAATCATGACTAGGTAATGGGTTTTCAGATTGGAAATCATCGCTTGCTTTTGGGAGGGGAAAGGAATTTGGGAAGGACCTGGGTGAGTCAAAAAGAGAAGGGGACGTGGGGCGGGGCTATGAAGAAGGGAGAAAAGACCGCCCCCCCTTTCAAAACAAAGCCGTAAAAAACCAATTACAGTACAACTCAAAAATAACTGGGAAAGATCATCACAAGGATTTAGTTCTTTAAGTCTTAAATCTCTAGGTCATATGGTTTCAAGCACATGCTAGTAGAGTTTAGTTTTCAAGCACCAAATCATTTAAACACATCTGACTTTACTCACTGGCTGCAGTAAGCTTTTTAATGAAGTGTAAATAATACAAAATAGGAAACAGGAAAAAAATAGATAATAACGTGAAAAATGCACAATACGGTAAGTGCAATAATAAAGCAGCAAGAGTGCATCGAAAAAACGTAAACCCAGAAGTTGTAGGTTTAGCACGACTTTCTAGGTGAGTAGGTACTGCAATATGGCTCTATAAAGGTAAAATTGTGAGGTAAATGTGGGGTTACCTCAAGGAGATAAATCAGCAATAAATTTGGGGAAAAGGAGGGATAAACACGAACCAAGTAATGACCTTTGAAAAAAGAAAAGATCTCAAGGAGATCTAGCAGTGTTTCGTAGTCGAACTCCCAAAAAGTTTCACCGATCACCGTTTATGGTCTTGGGTGGAACGGAGTGGAGGCCGGAAATTTACGGCTTTGATTACCCTCTTAGATGAGCTGTATATGGAGAGGAGAATGAACGATGACCAGAACAAGCACCCACAATTATCTCGTCACTCTTTCTTTTCTCTTTCTTCCCCCATGCAACCATTGTCACAAAAGAGTGATGGAAAGCTTTCTCTGAGAACATTGATTAACAGGCAACAGGCTAACAATGGCAGGAGATTTTTGGATAATAAGCTGTGTTGTTAGACTTTTTGGCTAGTTTAGCATATAGCTCAGGCTCAGCACCCAGATATTTTTGTTTAATATGGATAGGAGTTTAAGAATGGTGCTAAAATAAGTTCTGATTCTTAACCAGTGGTCAAAGAATTCGCTTAACCTGAATGTTTTAGATAGAAAACTAAACCTACTTGGTTAGGAAAATAATATCTAGACCAATATCTTTATCATCTTATTAGCTTAAGCTTAAGCCAGTCCATTGGTTGAGTATTTTCAATTCAAATGAGAAGATATTCAATAAAGTTTCAGCTTTCATAAGCCGACGATCTTTTTAAGCTCTTTCAAAGCTCTTCAATCTTTTCCTTATCCCATCATCAAAGCAAAGTGCTTGAAAAGCCAGAAAAAGCCAAAAAATGGTCAATTGTGGCTTAAGTATAATGAATGGCTGGTCAAAAGGGATGAGTTAACGATATGCGGGAACGATGCAAAACGAATGAAGGGGAGCGACTTTGATCAGATTATGTCTCAAACAAAAGCAGGCGCTAATTGCCTTCCGGGAGGCATATGGTTGAGAGGAGGATGGGATGAGGGGAAGGGAAGGGAAGGCAGGGAAGGCAGGGTATGAACCCTATAGGCCACAGGGGCTTCATGAGCCTCCACTAATTTAGCCCCAGCCTCCTCCCTGGGTTGGTCCCCAAAATTGGCCCCATAGCCGCTCTTGGAGCCCTCAATGAATTGTAAAAGTGGTGTGTCGGGCCAAGGCCAAGGCATTGAAATTGGTACGAAACGGGGAATGATGCGGATGGGATAATTAAAAAGCGATAAGCCTGGGATGAAATTCAGAACATTGAACTTGATATGGCTTTGGAATAGAACTAGTTGAGTAGTTGAGTTGAACAAAAAGCAAGTTAAGAGTCAAATAGTTAACTAAGTAGTTGATCAGACAAACTTAAAACAAACAAATAGACAAACTTAAAAAAAAAAAAAAGAAAAAAAAAAAAAAAAAAAAAAAAAAAAAAAAAAAAAAAAACAGACAAACTTAAAACTGAATAAGCAAGCAATTGGTCAACCAACAAAACTGAATCCTTTTCAAGGCAAGGAATAACAAAATTTGCATATTTGAGCAAAGGATCTCTGCTAGGAAAACTATGGAAATTTGCAATTGTTTGTTGTAAATCAATGGTGACCAGAGGGGAAGTTTACAGAAGTTTTACGATAGGTTAGAAAAGAGAGAGAGAGAGAGCACAAGTGAAGGAACAGTGATCGCATCGGGGAAAGGGGAAAGGAAAGGGGATCGAACCGATGTCCACACACGGCAGATGTGCGCTTTTGGTGCAAGGGTGGTATAAATGCCCCGAGAAAACGTGCTTATCCAAGCAGGGGAAGATATTGGGGAAAGAGGAGGGTTATAAAACGAGGTGTCGATCTTGGACAGCCGACATCAGAAGGTGCAAATCGGTGGGAAAGTATTTGCGATTTGCGAAAATGTAGTTACTGTTTTTACTTTACAAAGCTTTGAATCAGTTATCGGTATAAAAAATGAGTGCAGGCTAATGAATCAAAGCTATCAATGAATCAAATCAGCTTATTATCAGCTTAGTTTTAAGCAAAAAAATCATAGAATAAAGGTACTTCTTTAGGATAACGATTTTCTAACGGCTAACAATTTTGTCAAACTTTAACCCACACTTTTTTTGTGATAGATTTTCAAAAAACTCAAAAAACTATTAGAATCTATAAACCCTAAGCTATCTAATAATACTTTAAAGTCAAAATTTGACAAGTTTAAGACTAAATCAGTGACACAAGTTGGCAAAATTGTTATTAAAGAAGATAGGATAAAGTTTTGAAGTAAAGTAAATGAAGCTTCATAGGCAGTAAAGCTTCATAGGCAGTAAAGCTTCATAGGCAGTAAAGCTTCATAGGCAGTAAAGCTTCATAGGCAGTAAAGCTTCATAGGCAGTAAAGCTTCATAGGCAGTAAAGCTTCATAGGCAGTAAAGCTTCATGCCTATGCTTTACAACCATTAAAGAGAGAAGAGAACGAAAAATTAGAATCTCGATTGTATTGGAATGGAAGAGACGGGAGAAGAATTACCCGAATCGAGGAATCGGCGGAGAGGAGCCGATCGGCGTGTGTGAAAATCGGCTTCCCCACAAAGCTCTCCCCTTCATTTACCCTTTTCACCACCCCAATCGGTCCTTTCTATTTGCCATTTGTTCTCTATCTTTTTCCTTGTTGCCACCATCACCCGACCCAAATGATTTTCTAACATTTGCATTTTTTCGGCGCAAAAAAAAAGCCGCCACTCTTCTTTACCTTTAGCTAAAAGTGAATAATGAATGAAAGAGTGAACTTTTCACTCTTTGCACGTCTAAAAGTCTAAAAGAAAACCCAAAACTGTGGGAATTTTGGCGGATTTTTGACAGAAGAGCTTTTTTCGAGTGGAGGAAAAAGCTGGAGGAAGAGTCGAAATGGGGTAGCGGTTTGAAAATGACTTTAGGAATTGTACTTTTTTTAAAAAGACTTTAGAAATATTGTATTGTACTTTTCAAATTGTAAATTGTACTTTTCAAAAAAAAGATTAAACCTATTAGTCTTCAGTCTTCAGTAGTTAGTATTCTACTAGGATAAATTCATAGAATAGATTTGCAATAGCAATAGCAATAGTACATGTGTGCTTTCACTGGCCCAACGCAAAGCTACTTTTGAAACAGATTCACTAATTGTAAGCATCAAAAACAACAACAACGATTCGATTCGATACGAAATTCGATTTTAAACGTGTTTTACTCCACCACGGAATCAGACTTTTTCTCTGATAAATAATTAACCGCTGACACATTTGAAATCTTTTGAAATCTCTTGAAAAAGTGAAAAGTTGCTAAATCTTTCATTGAAATGAGTAAGATAAGCGCAAAAAGTTCATCGCTTTGGTGGAAAAAAAAAGCTAGTGTGGATTTAGCATTCCAGAAACGCAAAAAAGAGATGCCTCATAAAATCCATTGAAATCAGTAGTGAGAAGAGTGTGTGAATGAATCGAAAAAGGAGAAAAAGAAGAAAAAGAAGAAAAAAAAAAGCGGGAGAAAGCTTTCTGCAAAAGAAAATGACAGATACATTGAAAAGACATCAGAAGATTTCAAAGGAGACTTGTCAAATAGCGGCTTCGTGAAATGGCTTTTGGGGAAATGAGGCGATGAATAAGATGAAGAAAAAAAGAAAAGAAGAGCACCTGGGCGATGGGTTGTCGATTTTTTGAATGAGATAGGATTTCTATAAAATGATGCTTAAAATTAACTGTCTACAAAATTTTCGCTTAACTCTAAATGAAATGATTTCTTTGGAGAGCTATCTCAGAAAGAATCTTGCACTTTTTTTTCAAAGAAATTGAAAGATTCGAGTTCTTGATGAAATGACAAATTATCTGATTATTGAATGTCGAAAGGAAAGAAAGAAGGAAAGAAAGAAAAAAAGAAGGAAGGAAAGAAAGAAGGAAAGAAAGAAGGAAGGAAAGAAAGAAAGAAAGAAGGAAGGAAAGAAAGAAGGAAAGAAAGAAGGAAAGAAAGAAAAAGAAAGAAAGAAAGAAAGAAAGAAAGAGAAATGAAAGAAAAAATGCCGTCTTTGGGATAAA